TCGACTGGCAGAAATATGCAACGGCGGTGACAATCGGTGCCGAATCAATAGATACGCTTCCACCATTGGAAGAATATCGATTCCTTGCCGATTTGATTTACAAAATCTCACTGGAAGCACAAAAAAGAAAAGTTCCAAGTGCGCCCTTCAAAAGGAGACCAGTCACACCTGGATGGGACGAAGAATGCACAAAATTGTATGTAGACACAAAACCTCCACATACTTCGAGGAATATTCAAAGCTTGAGACAAAGCTAAAACAATTAAGCAAAGCAAAAAAACGCGGTTATTGGCGCAATTTCGTCGAGGGACTCTCACGAGAAACCTCAATGACCACCTTGTGGAGGGTGGCTCGCAACATGCGTAACCGCTCATCTTCTAATGAGAGTGAAGAATACTCCAACCGATGAATATTCGATTTCGCTAAAAAGGTCTGTCCGGACTCAGTTCCAGCACAACACATTCCTCTAGAAGCGTCTCCGAGCGGCAGCTCTCTGGATAGACCATTCACAATGCTGGAATTCTCTATGGCTCTTCTTTCATCGAACAACTCCTCACCGGGAAGCGATATGATATTATTATGATGCAAAATTTACAGATTTCCCATCACTTTGAATTCGGAATGTTGTAAACTTCAATGGCATGGGATCAGTTGCGGCACAACATGGGGTTGAATATTTCTATATATCTTCATTTTTAACTATTAAAATACTTAACAATTATAATGTGTTATATACCACACAAATCTTATAACACTGGTGAATCGATTGACATACAAATCATCAAAATCCATTGATTACACTAGTTTACAAAACAACATAAAAAGTGTGAACTTAAGTGGTTGATCAACGATTCTAATGCAAAATCCTACGCTGAATTCAATGCCGTGGTCAGAAAAAATTAAAGTAGAGCCATTTTTGAGACATACAAAAATTTTGATTTTTTGGATTTTGGACAAAAGTACGATTACTAAAATGTCAATATCTTTGGAACTAGTGCACCAATTTTATTAATAAATTTGCTATCGTTCACTAGAATATTATGTCTTGATTAAAAATTTTGAAGTCATTTATAAATTTACAGCATTTTTTTTAATTTTTTCTGCGAATTTTCCATAAAAATCTTGTTTTAATCAACATTTTTAATGGGATAAAAAGATTCAAAAAATCATTCCATAATTTATTCTTAAAGTCCATTAAAAACTGGAGAAAATGAGCCTTTAATAGATGAAATCGGTTGGAAATTGTCGAAGTTATGAATTTTTTTGTAAATTCATGGAAATTCAATGTTCCAAGATTGGCCGTTGTTCCGCTCCTAGGTTCATGCACCACTTCCAGTAAGCCTTTCTGCGGACGTGTACGCATACGGTGCATTTCACTAACACTACCAGCTGTCACGCAAAATTAAATTGGATATTTTCAACAATATAATTTACGCTAGTGTTTGTGAGACCGCTCGGCGAGAACCTAACGCAACCAACTCAATTTGACAGCTTTCTTTCTTTAACATTGCTTAACGATGTATACGACAAAACGTGAATTCAAGTGTTAAAATGATCCTCAAAAGTTTTGTTACGCGTGTGGCAACTATATATTTACAAAATCGGTCAATTTCACTGCTTCGTTGCAAACTGCATACAGGCTTTATTTTAAAATTGATCCTGGAGACTTTGACAAACCGTGGATTCCAAAAGTATTATGTAGTTCGTGCAAAACGTGCTTGGCTAGGTGGATGTCAGGCGCAGGCATGGAAAATCATTTGCATTCATTTCATACATTCATTTACATTCATTTGCCTCTAACTTTTTTTATCAACAGCATTCCGCAAAATGATGTATAGAGCGTTTGTAGGTTTTGTTATTAGCTACAATTTTTGCTCATAACTCAAATCTGCTTCTCTTATGCATCACGAACTAGAGCGGGCAGAACTTGTTACTGTTTTTCAGTGAATGTAAAATACATTCACTGAAAAACAGTAGTGGCTTCTGTTCGCTCTGGTTCGTCATGCATAAGAGAAACGGATTTGACTAGTTAACAAAAGTTGTAGCTAATAACAAAACCTACAAAAGCTCTTTACTTCATTTTGCGGAATGCTGTTAAAGAAAAAAGTTAGAGGTAAATGAATGTAAATGAATGCACGAAATGAATGCAAATGATTTTCCATGCCTGGTCAGGCGCAAGGTAAATTGATTTTTTGAATAACTTTCATATAAACAATTTACGTACAGTATGGTAGTGCTTTGTTCTTTCCTGATCGACATTATCTTACTTCATCTATTTTTGATAAGTGTTAATGTCTTACTTACTAACTCACTTATTTGTTATCTATCAGTCGCTATTTGTCCTTTGACATGCTCACCATATGGCGTCGACCGTTTTGTCATGCAACGGATTGTTATTTCTGCTTGACAAAAGTTAAGCAACAAGGACGTCACAAAACAGTTGAGTATCCACAAGTGGCCTCTATGACAAAACCTGTTCCTGATATGCCTTAATCAAATTGATATGTAGAGAAAAGAATCTCCCATGAAAACTTTACATGTGATTTGGATGCTTACAACGACACCTAGAAAAGGAACTCTAAAGCTGTTGTATTTCAGCAACATTTTTAAGTGTTTTACAAAAATGCTCATAACTTCGACAATTTCCAACCGATTTCATCCATTAAAGGCTCATTTTCTCCAGTTTTTAATGGACTTTAAGAATAAATTATGGAATGATTTTTTGAATCCTTTTATCCCATTAAAAATGTTGATTAAAACAAGATTTTTATGGAAAATTCGCAGGAAAAATTAAAAAAAATGCTGTAAATTTTTAAATGACTTCAAAATTAAATTTTTTATTAAGACATAATATTCTAGTGAACAATAGCAAATTTATTTAGCTTCATTTTCATAAAAAAAGATTTAAAATTGGTGCAAAGATATTGACATTTTAGTAATCGTACTTTTATCCAAAATTCAAAAAATCAAAATTTTTGTATATCTCAAAAATGGCTCTACTTTAATTTTTTCTGACCACGGCATTGAATTCAGCGTAGGATTTTGCATTGGAAATGATCATCACCTTACCGAGTTCAAAAATGCTGTAAACTAGTGTTATTGGCCAAGTTATTAGCATTTAAATTCTGACCAATTTTCGTTGCATTTCCCTGAATTGGCACCCTTCTTGAAAGGCGTAGTCCTACGTCAAAAGGACCTTCGGGAGATTCCATCACCTACTGTAAAACCATAGAGGTAATTCTAACATAGAGGTACATAACTCTAAGACTAGTAAGTCCCGAAGAAAAGTGCTCAACTTTTTGGCTCAGCTCTGGTACTATCTTCGGTCCCAAGCTAATCGATGCACCTCTCGAACCATAGGAAAATCCACGAACCCCTCGTTTTATCTGTCAAACTTTCATGGCAAATTAAAACAAACATTGTGTAGTATAAGAATTTTGACTAGAATGGGGTACGTTAATCAATTTGCTTGGGACCAATAGGCTAGTCAAGTAGTGAGCCAATTTTAAATCATTAGTTTCCACCGGTTGGTAAAACTATGCGCTTGCTCAATGATTTCAGTACTTTGCGTGGGCGAGTGAACGGTTGAAGTCATTGTTTACAAAATCGCTTATATCTATTGGAAAGTTCGTCCTTGAAATAATCGGAAGTCAAATTCTATAAATAATTAACATAGAAACATAGTTGAATTTAGGCTAGGTAAATCTAATCCACGCCGAATTCGCGCCAGACCAAATCTGAAATTAAAAACCGCAACAAATCCATAAAAATCTCAAAAATCGCGAAAGTCGCGAACGTAATCGTATCAACCCTGTAAATGGTTCGACGCTTCTCACCAGGACATACTACGAATGACCTAACATGTGTTAGATAAAACAAACATAAAAATAATCGTAAATTCAATGACAGATGAAATTAAATTAAGGTGATTCCTTGTAGCGTCCTTTATCGCATTATTGCATAGCGAAGCCAAAATATTGAGGTTTTGTGAATCCACAAAGCTAAAACTACGACTTGTTGTTTGCTGAGGAGAAGCAAGCATTATCTGAAATTTACAGATTTATAAACTTCGTAAATAATGGGGTTTGTTGTTTTTAAATTAATCATTTTGTTCGACCATTTTCCACAGAGATGGCGCTGTTCCGCTGGTAAGAAGTGATAAAAATCCCCATATAGAAATTGAGAGAAGTGGGAATAATTCGCTTTCGGTGCATATTCAGGTCAAACAAAGTGAACGACAACCTAAAGAAAATAATCAGGGACTTTGTAGTTCAGTTTTCCCCGGAAATTATTGTTAAACAAGCTACAACTAAAAAAACGATTTTTCCCCATAAAGTTTTACCTGATTTACTACCAGCTCCTAGAGAGCCAAAAAATTCAAATTTGAGAGAGAAAATTTGCTCTCACGACCTCAATCTCTCAACATGCCATGTATTTTGTAGACACTCGATTTGTGTTTTCCCATTCACAGATTACAAAATAGAGTACCTGACACTACAAAACATGTCTGGTACCTCCATATATGCATTTGCTTTAACATTTGAAGTCCCTCCTTTTTTACATATTCTGCGCAAAAGATACTTTATGCTTCACCCCATACATAAAATTCGGCGGGAAATTCTGTGAGGGGTACCAGACCTGTTTTGCACTGCAGTGTCCTCTGTGAAAAATTATAGGAAAACAGATTGTGTCTAGTTTCCGATAGATGTCACCGCAAACAACAGCAGTGACATCTCATGGAACATAAATGCAGAAGCTTGACAAAATGATCAATTGCGAAATGTAAAAAGAAAAAGGACTCTACAAGGAGAGTCATTCCCTCTTAAAATAGAGTGAGCACACATATTGGAACCTGTTACGTATGTCGAGTCGAGTCTCACTTCTGGTCACTGGTCTATTTTGATATTACAAAAATGACGCTCGACTCGACTTACATTGATTGAAATATTTTTTGTAAATGGTATTGTAGTTAGGTAGATTGACATATAAAACCGCCTTACCGAGGTAACGGTGCTCTTCTCCACGCAACCGGGCGCCATCGCCAGATTGTTCCGGGGTGGTATCGGCAGTGGGCGCGCACTGCAGACGATCGTCGCCGGGTCGGCATTGAACGATGTCTTGTACACGGAATCACCTTGAAATTCCACTTCCGATGGTTTGTAGTTTGATACCGGTTTGCACGGCTGCCGCCTCGCTGGTTGTACGTAGCGCTGCAAAGAAGGGCAGAGGAGGGTGAGCCGCGATTATCGACAAAATATGATTGGTAGATAAATGCAAGGACGGATAAAATTGGCTTAGCGCTTTAAACTTACCACCTTTTTCACCGGCGCACAGTCCGGACGGCCACAGGAGCAACCGCCGTAGCACCTCTGGTGTGGTATGTTGCCCTGTGACCGCTGCCTTGGGACGGCAGGATTACCGCCACAGCACTCGGCCATGGCTGGTTGTGATATGCTGCCGGTGGCGAATGGAGCTACGAAATCACATGGAACGCCATCGTCAACATATCCGGCACTTAGATCTTCGCAGGGAACTTCAACAGGTCCTACAATAGGTTCGGCGCAGACTTCAGATGGATAATTGCTTCATTTGTAACATTTTTCGTAGTTTCATGTTTGGTTACAGTTGTTGAAATAGGATTTTTATTTGATCGATAAAAACTTCATTAGACGGAACAATAAGCGCGGAACGAATTCAGCAGCAAGCAGCGAATGGCACCTGACCTCGTGCGAGCCCTTCAAAACGTGCTGAGCCCTGTATCGGACGAGATACAGATATAGGATAAGGTAACTTACCCAGTTTCGCAAGTTTCCATTTCGATCTTGAGTGGAGAATACTAATCGAAGCCAGGGAATGGGTATGTTACACTTTCTAGAGCAGAGAGGCAGCTGAACGGGGCCGGGGAGGAGAAAATTCCGGAACTAGTAATTTCGAATACCAATTCGTTGGGCGAACCAATTTGCGCTACGCTACGCGTGACAAATTTGAAGAGTTTCGTGTGAAAAATGATTTTCGACATCGATAAGCTTTCCGGCTGGTTGCTGCGATGCGTATCCAAACAGAAGTGTTCTTTCTTTCAGCACCGTCAGCACATCAGAAAACACGTGCGCCTAGGTTAGGTTATGTTCCATGATCGGAACGACGAAAATAACGTGACCTAAAAATTTCTGCACCACCCACATTCCCCTGCCTCGCAAAGCTGTCCCGGATTGATTACAATAAATTTCTTTACTCGACTGCACAAAAGGATCCAAAAGCGCTTCGCTTCCGGATAGTGGATGCGACTATCCCACGAAGAGAGGGAGGAATAGCGCCACCGACCTCAATACGTTTTACCCCACGGGTGGCATGGTTATGAACATGGAAAACTAACAATCCTGAGTAAACATAATAAGGCTACCTATGGCGTAGTCGTGCAAAGTTAGCAGACGGCAATGTTGACGTCGGCGACGAAGGATTGTTATTTATTCATGTCTTCTTTGGGGGGAGGGTGGTATGAACAATACATAAGTGCATTGCAGAAAACTGTGCTGTACCTACAAGACTATTTCCCATTAGGCGCTGTACCTACAGGTTGGTACTAGCATACACGTAAATCAACTACGTCCGAGAAGTGGCAAATATGCAATTCAAATGATGGTTTCAACGAAAATCGATTAATTTATTCGGGTTTCGTTTCATAACGACTGAAATAATTCGGTACTTTCCCGGGTGTTATGGGTTATGATATGCAAGGTCAGCGTTTAACAGCGTCCGGGTGGATGGGGCTGAATAATGGGCAATTATTATTATTATTATTATTTCGAATTGAATTTCCACATAGCTTCGCGATACCAACAATTATAAATGGAGTAAATTTGGGGGCCTCCAGACAGCCAGGCATAAAAATATTTACAATTTGCCATTAGAATTTTTGGGTCATTCTTACAAGCAGAATTCAAAAATTCCGCAAATTTTCCGAAATAAATCTGTTATTTTCGCTAGTACTTTAGTTGAAATTTTATAAGAACTCATCCACGGTTTTCTCAGGACTGCAGGAATTTATAGTCGTTTTGGATACATTAATTTTTCTAAATTGTCCATGAACATTTTTCGACGAAATCGAACAAACCCAGAAAACCCAATGAAATTCCCTAAAGTCTCTCCTCTCTTATTTTGGGGTTGGTTTTCTGGATGATTTCTATTTCGCATTTCATGTAGAGATCTTTCTATGCTTTCTAACCAGCGTTGCCAGGCAAAATTTCAGGAAAATCTGGTCCAATTAAAACATAAAATCCACTTTTTGACGTAGAATACGTCTTTCGGGAAGGTACAGGGTGTAAATCTAAAATCTAAAATTGCGACCGTCACGTCATGGTGTTAGGTTTTGAATGCTTATAACTTTGTAATTTATAGATGAAGTTAAAATCCAAATACACCAATCGATAGGAAATACAAATCTGTTGAAGTAAATACTTTTCAAATTTTCCATGAAAAAACTTTTGAAAAATGTACAGATAAAAAGTGATACATAATGTTATCTCTGTATTCATGAAAAACTTTTTTTTTCTAACCCATTCGAGAACCACTTCGTCTACATAATGCTACAACTAGGTAACTAGAAATCAAACGGGACATCGTCGCAGTCATGGTTGAGGTACCAACCACCAAGGGAAAAACCGAGATTGTAGGTGTTCACGCCAAATTCCCCTAATTTGAATCATATCGATTATATTTTGTAGTTTTGTGAACAAGACATCTCTAGTGAACAACCTCAGAACCAAAATTAGAAGAATAGAGGTTAATAATTGTATCATCACACTTTAGAAGCTTTATACAACCACTGTTCATCTAAAAGTGCTTTAAGTCAACTCAAATACATACAAATGTACCATTATAAATAGGCTACCAAAAGTAATAAATAAACCATCCCCGCGATCGGCCGACGGCAAATAAACGTTGTATTATAAGCCAAATAAAAGTATCTCTAACCGCGATTAAAGGTGCCTTTTTATAGTGACGATATCACTGCGTGTTGGAATTAAGTGCGTGAGACACCGGCGATTACCATCGCTCTTATGTGCGTGAACATAAATTGATTTTTTTTTTTTCCAATTCGCAGCAACTTTTGGTCTATAATGCCGCGTTCCTCAGTTTACAGATAAATATTGTGAGTCAGGTGTAAAAGTAAGTCTATCGTAACACCTACCAGACATTGGATATCGACATGATAATCGGCGCAGAACACTACATGAATCTGTTATGCGAAGGAAGGCTCAGGCTAAACGAGGATGGCCCTACCTTCCAAAACTCCGTTTTTGGATGGATCGTGTCCGGGCGTGTATTCGATTTCCGGTCTTCCGTTCCCAAAACGTCTACAACGCTGTGTTCAATGACTGAACTTCAAGAACAGCTGACTCGTTTTTGGGAGCTCGAGAGTTGTCACGTCAAGAGCACATATTCCGTGGAAGAGTCTACATGCGAGGAGATCTTCAAGCAGACCACTGTTCGTGACGACGATGGACGTTTTGTGGTGTCACTGCCCAAGAAGGAGCACATCATTGAACGCTTGGGAGATTCAAGGCGTAGCGCTGAGAAACGATTTGCAAGCTTGGAGAAGCGATTCGTTACCAATCCGCAGTTGAAGGAGCTGTATTGCGAGTTCATGGAGGAGTATTTGTTGATGGGCCACATGAAGAAGGTACGAGAAGAAGATCTGTCCGAGTCAGCGTGCTATTTCCTGCCGCACCATGCCGTGTTGAAACCGGATAGCACAACAACGAAACTGCGCGTTGTATTCGATGCTTCGTGCAAAACTACATCGGGATTCTCACTCAACGATGGGTTGATGGTTGGCCCTGTAGTCCAGGATGATCTTATCTCTATTCACACACGGTTCCGTTTACATCGCATCGGAATGGTAGCAGACGTAGCCAAAATGTACCGGATGATTAAGATGTTCCTGCTCGATCAGAAGTTGCACCTGATTCTGTGGAGGAAATCCCCGGATGATCCAATCGAGATTTTCCAACTGACGACCGTTACGTACGGTACAGCATCGGCTCCTTTTCTAGCGACTCGTTGCTTGGTACAGTTAGCAGAAGATGGAGAATCAACACACCCGATCGCTGTGAACATCCTGCGGAAAGATTTCTACATTGACGATATGATCACTGGGGTAGATGATCCTGAGGAAGGAAGAAGGTTAGTCGAGGAAATGGTCAATCTGACCAATTTAGCTGGATTCACTTTGCGCAAGTGGAATTCGAATAGCGAAGAAGTTCTGAGCGAGCTTCCATCACATCTACGAGATGAACGGGCGGTATTTGACATGGATTCGCCTGCATCGTCCACTACCGTCAAAACTTTGGGTCTTTTCTGGAGTCCGACAACCGATAACTTCTGCTTCACCGTTCCCAAATGGAATCCCACCCCAACCGTTACGAAAAGAACCGTCGTCTCCGATGCGTCCAAATTATTCGATCCTATGTAGGACCTGTCGTTGTTGAAGCCAAAATCTTCATCCAAACGTTATGGAAACTGCAAGTGAGTTGGGACGAACCGCTCGCTGAAAACTTGCAAACCTTTTGGCTGGAGTATCGCAGGAATCTCAGTGCCCTAGAATCCATTACCATTCCCAGATGGGTTGGGTATAGCAAGAAATGCACATCTATTGAATTGCATGGGTTCTGCGACGCCTCTGATAGCGCTTACGGTGCTTGCTTGTATCTTCGATGCACGTACGCTGATGGATCGGTTCGAGTCCAGCTAATGATATCGAAGTCAAGAGTAGCGCCGCTGGAGGATTTGAAAAAGAAGAAACGCAAGCAGTCTACGCCCCGTCTAGAACTCTCGTCCGCTCTGTTACTCAGTCATCTATATGAAAAGGTGCGTCGTAGCACTCAACTGGCAGTTCCCTCGTATTTCTGGACGGACTCCAACATTGTCAAATTTTGGATTGCTTCCACTCCATCGCGATGGCAGACCTTTGTTGCAAATAGGGTAGTCGAGAACGGACCAGATTGCAGCGCATCGAGTTTGGGAAGAAAAGCGTAACAGAATCATGTTCGAATACACCCAGTTCAGGTACTACGGACGTAGTTCGGCTTTGACCATATTCGAGCTAGCTTGGCACTTGTCGAAGGATTCAATCGACCTGCTCTGGTGGGCCATTGTAGGCTTGACGGAACAATTGCTGCTGGGAAAGGTCGAAAGTTCGACGTACACATTGGCCACGGACAGCGTTCAATCACACGTGTCCCGTCTCACCAACAAAGCCAGTGATCAAGCGATTCAGACTTCTGTGAAGATAAACTTCGAAAACGATCTCCATTTGGCACTGTACAGACACTGGAGTGTCCTGGATTCCTTAAAGTACTCCATATATCCGGCCTGCAAGATGAAACTGTGGACTTACAAGGGCGAGAAAGTAATGCATGAATTGCTTGTTGACATGGGGCTACCTCTGGTACAAGCTAAACAAACCTTCAATGCCATGGATTTGGAACTGCGAAAGGAGTTTTACGACAAAATGGAGAAGTTCTCGGAAAAATACCACCTTCCGGACATAATCTACGGATCGTTCATCCTGCAGTACGGCTACCGCAACAAGTACTCCGCCGCCGATTACGTTTAGTCGATGCTGGCCATCCTGGAATCCATCAAGAAAGACCGCACCCCAGAAACCTGCTTCCTCCAGTCGATGGACGCCCTGTCGCGCAACAACAAGGAAATCCTCGACGGTGGTATCGACATCCCAAGTAACATTTTAAGTT